ACAGAGATCCCAACAAATAGACCAACTATTGGCCTCTATACATGCAAACGAAGAAATTAACAAACAGAATCCGAATCCTTCTACATCCGCGGCCCTAAATAGAGATAGAAATAAATTACGTGCCATTTTACTACACTCCTATGACACGAACCTTTAAAAAACAAAAACACAATTCTATGCACTTGGCAATAAAACGAACTCCCTTCTCGCCAAAACCATCAAACAAAAAAGACTTAAAAATAAAATCTCCATAGTCCAACATCCAGAATCGCGAACCCCACTGTCGAACCCACAAGACATAGCTAACGCATTTGCATGCTACTACCAAACTTTATACAACATAAAAGATGACCCAGATACAGTACAACCAACGAATCCCTCCATCGAGAATTTTCTAAGTCGCACAGCTCTTCCCCGACTCACCTCTTCCCAACTAGACTCCCTCTCTGTACCGATTTCATCAGCAGAGAAAATTATAAACGGTTTACCCATGAACAAATCACCAGGAAATGACGGTTTCACTAATGAATATTACAAATCGTTCGCACCCAACCTTAAGTCACATCTCTCCGCCCTTTATAATCATGTAGCTTCTAATGGAGAATTTCCCTCTGATATGCTACAATCCATAATTACCACTATCCCGAAACCGGGTAAAGACCCCCAGTTAGTCCAGAATTACAGACCAATCTCTTTACTTAATACAGACCTAAAAATATACGCCAAGATAATAGCTCAACGACTGCTCCCATACCTTTCTACATTAATCCACCCTGACCAAGTGGGATTCATCCCTGGGAGACAGCCCCCCGACGCGACTCGACGAATTATATCACTATTACACCACCTTGAATCTGACAAACAACCATCACTCCTACTCTCGCTTGACGCGGAAAAAGCATTTGACCGAATCCATTGGCAATTCATGACACATACACTACAGAAATACGGAATAACAGACTGGATGCTATCAGCGATTCTCTCCCTATACTCCAAACCTTCTGCTAGAGTACTTACGAACGGCACGCTTTCACAACCTTTCCCAATATCTAATGGCACCAGACAAGGATGCCCTCTTTCGCCCATAATTTTTGCGTTACTTATTGAACCACTAGCATCCAATCTCAGAAACGATCCAAATTTCACAGGAATCAATTTTTTTAAGCGCGAACATAAAATTAGTCTCTTTGCGGATGACATTATTCTAATGATTACCAACCCCAACAAATTGCTTACGTCAATTCGCACACATATCCATGCCTACACAGAAGTCTCATACTATAAACTCAACGAACCCAAGTCTTCTATCTTAAACCTCTATACACCCGCTGCTACCCAGAAACTACTTGCTAAGCGGTTCCCTTTTAAATGGGAAAAACATAACATACCCTATTTGGGGATCAAGCTAACTGCCAAAATCTGCCAACTTTATACAACTAACTTCAAACCATTACTTGACACAATCCCACAAGAGCTCAAAAGCTTTCGCACAAATACCCTTTCAATACTAGGCAGAATAGCAACTATAAAAATGTGCATACTGCCCAAAATACTTTATATTTTCCGCACTCTACCTATTCCAGCCCCCTCCACTTTCTTCTCCAAACTCCAAAAAATCCTGAACAATTTCTTATGGAATTCCAAACGCCCTAGATGTACCACAAACCTCTTAATACGTCCGCCTGCCAGAGGTGGAGCAGGTCTCCCGCATATAAAATCGTATTATCAAGCTGTACTGTTAGACCAGCTCTTCTTCTGGTGGCACCCGTCTCCGGATAAAACTTGGACTGTCATGGAGGCTTCCATGCACGCACCAAGCTCAATGACAGACGCCTTATTTGTGCCTTGTGCGGCGTGGAATAAACATTTACATACACACCCATGCGTGCAAGCTTCTTTAATAGCATGGCATGACTTTTTGACCTATACTTGCTCCCACAAGGACAATCTTCAAATCCTTACTCCGCTTTCATCCTTACATTTCGTATCCCCGCACTTGAACCTGGCCTCATGGAAAATGCTTGGTATACAATATATCCAAGACCTTTTCAGCACCCAAAACCCAGATTCATTCCAGACTCTTCAGAAGAAATTTCATCTCCTTGATAAAGACCAATTCACTTATTTGCGAATATTCCATTCTCTTCATAAAACAAACATACCACTCAAAATAGAAATCCCAGCTACTGCACATCAATTCCTAAATAGGACCATATATCCGAAGAAAGGAATATCTACTTTTTATACACTTCTAACAGTAGCACAATTCACAACTTCTACTTCATCCTTGACTAATTGGGAAAAGACCTTATTACTCTCGACAAGCCCACACCCCTGGGAAATGACCTTCAACATTACTTTTAAAGCGTCGAAATGTAGTGCCCATTGGGAATCATACCTGAAAATCCTCCACTAATGGTATCTAACCCCCACTAAATTATCTCTCTATTACCCCCAGCAGTCACAGGCGTGCTGGAGACATTGTGGGGAAACTGGCTCACTCTTCCATGTGCTTTGGTCATGCAAATCTCTCAAATCTTACTGGAATAAAGTTTTCCAATTGATCTCCTCAATCACAGACACGCCTGTGACCCCAAATCCTGCCCTAGCCCTCCTTCATATAACTATAGATAAATTCCCCACAAGCTCACGCATTATTATCTTACACATCCTAGCGGCGGCAAAGATCAACATCACTAAACTCTGGCGATCCTCATCCTCTCCCCTGCTGTCACGCCTGGTGACTGACCTTAATCTGCAGTGTGAGATGGAACGAAGAACGGCCATTCGTAATTCCACGTACCATAAATTTATATTACACTGGTCTCGATGGTTAAACCATCCCACCTGTTCAATTACCTGACTACTAACTTTAACTTTTATAGGACACATACCTCTAAGATAAGGATAATGGTGCCTACCCCCCCCCCCCCTCCCCTCTCTTCCTTTCTCTCTCTACTCCCTACTTAACCTTATATCCACTGTTAGACCCATATACTCCAACATGGTTCACATACTAATGAACATACCTCTCATGTAAATGTGAATACGATATTAAGTTCCCCGGCCGGTTGGCGGGGATTTGCAACCCCTTCCTACCCCTTTCATGCTATCAGTCTACATATGTGTACCTTACAATTCTAATGGTTGTATATTTGTATTGAAGTTAAAAACCTTTTCATTAAAAAATATTTGAAAATAAATCAGGTGTGAGGAGGCGACACTGTGCCCGGTGATCTTTGACTTCTCCCATGTTGTTCAGGTAGATCTCCACCTCTTTAACCACTTGCCCTCCAGAGAATTCACCCCCCCTCCTTACCAGGCCATTGTTTGCGATACGGCGCAGCGTTACTTTAACTGGCAATTGCTTAGTCATGCAACGCTGCACCCAAATTACATTTGTGTTCTTCTTTCCAACAAATGGAGCTTTCTTTTTGTGGTATTTGATTGCCTCTGCTTTTTTTAATTTTTTGCACTATAAACAAAATAAAAAAATGATAATTTTGAAAAAAAAAAAAACAATATTTTTGACTTTTTACTATAAAACATATCCAGTGAAAAAAATTTTTAAAAATCTAATTCCGTCATAAATTTAGGCTGTAATGGATTCTGTCTTTACTAAAAAAAATCCCAATTCGTGTAAATTAATTGGTTTACGTGAAAGTTATAGCATTTACAAATGGCGGTATAGATACTGGGATTTTTTTTTAGATACCGTATTTTCCGGTGTATAAGACGACCCCCTACTTTTCCTGTTAAAATGTAGTGTTTGGGCTATACTCGCCATATAAGACTACCCCTCTTCCAATGCACACCAGTGGGAAGAATCGTGCCCCATCATTGGTGTTAGTGGGAGGAATAGTGTCCCATCATTGGTATTAGTGGGAGGAATAGTGTCCCATCATTGGTGTCAAAGCGACGAATCGTGCCCCATCATTGGTGTCAGTGGGAGGAGGAATAGTGCCCCATCATTGGTGTCAGTGGGAGGAATAGCACCCCATCATTGGTGTCAGTGGGAGGAATAGCGCCCCATCATTGGTGTCAGTGGGAGGAATAGTGCCCCATCATTGGTGTCAGAGTGACGAATCGTACCCCATCATTGGTGTCAGTGGGAGGAATAGTGCCTCATCATTGGTGTCAGTGGGAGGAATAGTGTCCCAACATTGGTGTCAGTGGGAGGAATAGTACCCCATCATTGGTGTCAGTTGGAGGAATAGTATCCCATCATTGGTGTCAGTGGGGGGTGGAATAGTGCCCCATCATTGGTGTCAGTGGGGGGGAGGAAAAGTGCCCCATCGTTGGTGTCAGTGGGAGGAATAATGCCCCATCATTGGTATCAGTGACACCAATGATGGGGCACTATTCCTCCCACTGACACCAATTACACTTGCTGACCCCTGTTCTAGTATGGTGCTGCTGCAGCCAGCATATGTGGTTGCAGCAGCACCTTTGCATGGCACACTTACCGGCAGCTCCTTCACTCGATTTTCACGTGGCTCTCTCGGCTCCGCCTCCTCGCCGGTGATTGGCCGCCTGTGTGCCTTTCCTGAGCTACAGTTCTGGCGGCCAATCACCGGTGAGGAGACGGAGCCGAGCAGCCGCGCGAACATCCAGTGGCCGAACCGAATGAAGGAGCAGCCGCGCTTCCTGGACCGGAGCAGCCCCTGCCCACCCCTGTACTTAGTGTCCCTTCTGTTGGAAGGGGGGGGCGGCGGTGGCGGCACCGCGCTGCCCCCCCTAAAAAGTGTCAGCATTCCGTATATACCGGCGTATAAGACGACCCCCGACTTTTGAGAAGATTTTCAAGAGGTAAAAAGTCGTCTTATATGCCGGAAAATACGGTATATACTAGTAATGGTGGTGATCAGCAACTTATAGCGGGACTACGGCGGGCATTCTGACACTGGGGGGAACTGACTAACTGCCACTGAGATCCACATGACACTAATACAGTGATCAGTGCTAATAAAATGCACTGACATTGTACTAATTGCCCTGGGTAGGAAGGAGTTAGGAAGGTGTTTTACTATGTAAGCAGCATGCTGTTGTTTACATACAGACCTCTCCCCTGTCAGTGTTTCTTGCCGATCGCCAGGTGTCAGTGGTCAATCTTCGGCCGGGACCCGGTGATTGACAGCTGTAGCCACCAATGGCAGCGTATGTAGGGCGGCACGTGTGCGCCCCCTACCAGGAAATGAAAAATCACATTTATATATGTGAATTTGCATAGCCCTGCCACCCTGTAGCAGTAGTTCAGCTATAGGGTGGTCAAGAAGTGGTTAAGGTTGCCTACCCCTGGTCTAGACATATAGGGGTTTATATACTAAAGCTGGTTCACTCAGAATCTGGTGGAGCTGTGCATGGTAGCCAATCAACTTCTTTGCTGCAAGGAGAGGAGAGAAAGCGGTGTAGATTTCAAATACCTAGACCTGTGAAGTGGTTTTCTCTCCTCTCCTTGCAGGGATGACAGTACAGGCTAGATGACAACTGATTGATCAGCACTGTCCATGTGAGGGTGCTGACCAATCAAAAACCTTCTAACCCAAACTGTCATCACTGCAAGGAGAGGAGGAAAAGTGGTGGGGATCTGAAATCCTCACCACTTTCTCTCCTCTCCTACCACTGAGAATATGGAGCATCTGCTTCCACGGTATACATCCCCAATCATCCACTCTCCGCTCAGCATGGGATGAGTGCAGGAAGGTTTTCCACCCCGATCCTGTGTGAACTCAAGATATAACAAGCCTGGTCCAGTAGCTATCAGTAGGGATGAGCTTCTAGTTCAGCGTCAACCCATCATGCTCTGACAGAGTTTTGCTTGTTTGGAGGTTCAGCGAATGAGTCAAACCTCCTGCTGGAGTGGGAAGTGCAACAGGATTGTTAACCGTGAATCATCCCCACCTAACCCATTTCATTGGAAATTCCCAGCTAAAAGGTGAATGTGAACAAAGGGGTGAGGATAGTAAACAGCATGGGGTGCCCCCCAAAATTCATAGGAGAGACACCACCAACATTTTTGGGGGACTTGCCAGAAAGAATGTGGATTCTCTTAAAATTCTACACCGTACATATTCAGACTGCTCTCTTATCCTTCCTCCCACTATAATTAGAGAATCCTCTAGAATACAGAGGAAAGCAATCATAGCAGCAGCTTGTGAAACACTGAGCAAGCCAGAATAATGACCCCCGGCTCCACTGATTACAGAAGAGCTGTACTACATTTTCCTAACATCCTGTACTAACTAGGAAGGTGCTACACTTACAAAGGCTTTGCTATTCTGGGCAGATCCTCAGAGTGAAACCTGTGAACAAGGGGGAGCATTGTATCAAGCAGGATGCAATCAGGGGGATGGGGGTTTAATTAAAGACAACATACTAAATATAATTGTCCTTTAAAACTTAATATCAGGAGGCATTCCATGCATGAAGCAGTTATTTTCACAATCATTTCAGTTGAATGAAATGCATTTTCTCATTGGCTTTATTTGATTAGAATTTTGCACATGATGGAAAGATAAAAGGCTTAGCATCTACCTGTGTATATCCATAGATTCCCAGTATCTCTGCCATTGGAATTGTTGTCACTGAACAAAGATCTCCAATGAAACCCACCAGTTCAGCTTCTTTAGAACATGAATAATTAGGGACTGTCTTCCGTGGTCCAGATAAAATCCTTAGAACATTCCTTACAGCAAAACTAGGATGCAAATATGAATCTAGCATACGAAATCCAAGTGTAATATTGGGCAAAATTGTTGGATCCTCATTAACATCGCGTATAGCAGAAAGAAAAGCGAGAACATTTATAATTGCAGCAGTTTCAAATCTGTAAAGAAAAACATATTTGTATTGAATAAGCATACATTTTACAATGGACTTACACCAACTGGCCTCTGATGGCCTCTCCTACATCTCTGACAAAACAAACACTCGCCTTGTGGCACAGAGACACATTAACCACTTCCCATCCAGCCCATGTATGTAAATGGCCGGACGGTGGCAGTGCAGGGTCGGGTGGCCATTTATAAATGGCCTCCCCGCCCCCTGCTTGTGCACACTCCCTGGGAGCGCGCACCACCGCGATCCGGTGCCCGGTGTGTCCTCCGGACACAGTGGAACACCGATCGGCGGACGGGACCTCTGGCCAATCAGTGATCACATGCAGAGTAGTAAGCAAGATGTCACTTGTGACATCATTACTTACTACGTTTGAAATCTGTAAATGATCTCAGAGGTCACATGGTACAATGCTATTCACAACAGCCTTGTACCATGTGACAAGCTGTGACCAATCACAGCTCACTCAGTAGTTCTCAATGGCTGCAAGATTGCAGCTAGAGAGAAGGAGAAATGATTGCTTTTACAGCCTTTATGGGTATAAAAGCAATTAGTGTAAAAAAAAAAAAATCTTCATCACCCCCCACAAGTAGTACAGTATGTAAAAAAAAATAAAATAAAATAAAAAAATTTAAAAAAAAGTTTAAAAATATAATTTTTGGTTATATACTAATTTGGGTTATTTTTTTTTTACTAAAACTATAACGGAATAAATTTTGGCCAAGATTTATGATGAAATACTATTTATTTGCAAAATTTTATAAGAAAAACACATTTTTTTTTTTTTTTCAAAATTTTTGGCTAAAAAATCCCAGTGGTGAATAAATACCACCAAAATAAAGCTTTATCTGTCTCAAAAAAATGCTAAAAAATTCATATGGGTACAGTGTTGCATGACCGCACAATTGTCATTCAAAATGTGATAGCGCTGAACGCTGAAAATTGGCCTGGACAGGAAGGGGGTAAAAGTGTCCGGACTGGAAGGGGTTAAGCTATACGCTAGTAGACTTTCAAGCAATGTTTGAAAACAAAAATGTGTTAAAAAATTCTCAGCACATTCATTGACTTAGTGAATGTTGTTTGAAAGTACGGTAGTTGAAAATTTCTTTTGCTTTTAGCATTCTATTTTGTAACAAATAGACTTTACCAAATGAAAACCACATAGTCATCATTGTGGTTAAAAACAAACATCGATTTGACCCCACTAATGATTAGAAAATCAAAAAATGTTCTTAAAATTACATTTTCTATTCTAATTCTACTTGTGTATATCCAGCTTAAGTGTCTGGCTTGTCAAAGGTGCTGGTGGGGAGGAGAAATTGTAGGCCACTACACACATGTTCACTAAATGTTGTCTAACACTTTTAAGTATAACTGGATTTAAATTCAGATCATTTTTGTCAACTGCTTTGATGTAAATGAAGTTCACCTGCAGGAGAGGGTTCGTGGAGGCTCGAGGACGGTCGGACCTAGGAGAGTGTCGGGAGAGAGACGGGAGAAAGACACCTCTGGGTTTTTCTTTTTTTCTCTCTTCTTTTTTTTTTTCTCCCCGACGCCCTGCAGCTGTTATCGAGGAGGAGCAGGGTTGCCAGGGAGACGGTCGGGCAGCCTGGAGCCAGGAAGCAGCTGAGAGAGGGAAACCTCGTGGTATCCTCTGGCGTCTCGCGGTGGCTTCGGAGGAGCAGGGTTGCCAGGGAGACGGTCGGGCAGCCTGGAGCCAAGAGAGGGAAGCCTCGTGGTATCCTCCGGCGTCTCGCGGCGGCTTCGGAGGAGCAGGGTCGCCAGGGAGACGCCAGTGAGACGGGCGAGGCATTGGAGCGGCACCGACACGTGGGAAGCCGCGGAGGAGCTCTGGGAGCTCAGTGAAGGAGAGAGATTGCCCGACATCAGAGCAAGTGGGTGAAGTGGTAGAGAGCAAAGGACATATTGACTCAGTAAGTGGGTAAACCAGCTGAGGGTAACAGACATACTGTCCCTCAATAGACAAATACCCATATAAATATTCCATCTCCTTGCCTCCTATATCCAACCTAACTCCACCCTAATTCCACACTAATCCCATCATCTCCATATCAGCTATAATCCTACAGTTCCACAAGCATATAACATTATGTTCATTATCATAAAACAGCTAAACATCTGAACCCCCACTCTACTCCTTTCTCTACTTAACTATTTATGTGCATACTAAACTCTAATCGAAGGGGGCCTGTAATGTGAAAGGAGGATAAGCTGCATGAACTACGAGAGACCCCTAGGAATCCCTTCAAGAGGAGACAAGTGGATCTAAACACAGAGGAGGACTGTTTCAGAAGTGAAGTTCCAACGCGGTGGGTGAGTGAGGACCGTGGGTTTATCCTGCAGGTTCTCTTTTACACTGCATATACATTGGTTTTGTATATTAGACTTTTATATATTCTGAATTCCTGCACTAGATTGTGAGGTGCCTGGAAAAAGAACTGTGACTAAATACTCAACCAGAAAATAAAAGAAATAGGGGATCCCTGGGACAGGTCTGAAGATTGGAGGAGGAGAAGATCAGGAGTTTCAGGAAATAAGAGTTAAAAAAAAAAAAAAAAAAAAAAAAAAAAAAAATTCCCAAACTACAGCATGAAAGGTAAAAATATCAAAGGGAGTGGGTCTAAGAACACCCAAACGGGTACGATTAAGAAGTATGTGTCACAAGGAACTGTTACCCCCAGAAAGAAACCAGGGAATTAGTGAAAAAAGTGAATTGGAAATAAGTCTGGATAACAGCCCAAGACTTTCCCTAGGCCCAGTTTACAACAGTCATATGGAAGGTACGGAAGCAAGAGAGTTGGAAAGAGATATGCAACTACCTAATAAAAAGAAATGGCGGAGATGTTTAAAGGTTTGGAAAATTCAATAAAGCAAGAGATGGGGATGATTCGGGAAGATCTGGGACAATTACTAACTAGGGTGGAGGAAATGGAGGAGAAGGTACAAGCACAAGCTCAGACCATCCCAAAGTTAGAGAAATGGATAATTGAAGATAGAAAAGAACATAAGAGAATGCTTTATAGAATGAAGAACAAGAGAATAGAGAAAGGAGAAACAATATCAGAGTTAGAGGAGTACCGGAATTGACACAGGGAGAAGATCTAAAAGAACTATCTGGTAAAATCTTGAACTTTATAATGGATAAATCGGATGAGGAGATGTTTAAACTGGATGAAGTATACAGGATTGGGGGAAAGTACCAACAAGGAAATGAGATAGAAAAACCAAGAGACATAATTGTTAAATTCCACAACTATGGAGATAGAGAAAAGATATGGAAAAAGATCAAAGGAAGATCAAACATTACATATGGTGGGAAAAAAAATATCCAAATTTTTGCAGATTTTGACAGCAGAAACTCTGAGAAGGAAGAGAGCACTAAAACCCCTATTGGAAACGATTGAAAAAACAAGGAGTGTTGAAATACAGATGGGGCCATGACTTAAGCTTAATTGGGTGGAGGGACGGAATAACAGCTATTTTAAGATTCCCGGAGGATATGGAAGAATTTTGTGACAAATTTGGACTGCAGAGACAAGTGATATCTGGCTGGGAAGGGGGAGGAGAGAGTTGGATATTTGTGGGACAGGAAAGTGGCAGCTGGTCAAAAGAGGAAATAGAGAAACAATAGATAAGGGGATATCGGGGAGGAGGGGGGGACGGTAAGCGGTCATGGGTAGAGTCGAACCCTATAGAGGGATCAAAAGTGGAATATGATCCAAAGCATAGGAGGCCTGGGGGGGGTGGTGGGGATGGGTGGGGAGGAAGGGGGGGAGGAGGATGGCAGGAGGGGAGGGAGAGGAAGGGGTGGGGGGGGAGGTAGGGGGGGGGGAGGGAGGAATGGGGAGGAGGGGTATAGGAGTCGGAGGGTGGGGTGGGAGGGAGGGAGGGAGGGGAGGGAGGTTATTGGGTTAATTACTCTGCATGACAGATGGGATAAAGAGAAAGAGGGCAATATGGAAGAGAGATGGAGTTAATTGGAAATGATGGAAGAAATACAGTTTATAAACCCTATAATGTGAAATGGACTGAGTTATTCCAGGGAAGAGATTTTAGGTTATTTAATGAGTTACATCATAGAGATGCGTCAGTGGTATTTTTACAGGAGACGCATCTTGAGATAGAGGCAAAAGTGAGGTTGAAATCTAAACAACTACCCAACATGGTACTATGCAGATTCCCCAATTAAAAGAGCAAAAGGTGGTGGCAATAGGTTTGGCAAAGAATATGAGATTTGAGTTGGAAGATAAAAGAACTGACCGGAGGGGATGGTTCTTATTTTTAAATAGGTGTAAATTCAGGTGGATTGAGTGTACTTTAGCCAACATATACTGCCCTAATAAAAACCCAGAGATGTATAGTGAAAAGTTTGTTGAAAAAAAATTAATGGAATTTAAAAAAGGGTGTTTAATAGAGCTGGAGACCTAAATTTCTGATATGGACCCACAAAAGGATAATACCTCTTCTGTGCAAAGTGAGGGGAGCAGGTCTCTGAGATCTTTGTTACAAAAAAAGTGATGCCCATTGAATATCAACTAGTAGACACCGTGCAACGTCTGGAGAATAAAGCATATGGAAGGACAGGAAGACTATACCTTCTTCTACTAATGCACATGAGATATATCATGGGAGATTAGATTACATCTTAATAGATCATCACTTATAGACCATCTGGTTAAAAAGTTGACATAGAGACAAGGACATTGTTCTGTTCGGCGGGGTTTTCATGCTCCGGTCGTAATGAAAATGGGATGGGGAAAAGAAGGGGACTGGAGGATTAGGGTGGGAGGTTTAAATAGGGGCTCTTCTTTTGGATGAGGGATTTAGTTCAGAAAATCGAGAAAGAGATAAAGGTATACTTTAAGGAGAACGAAACACGAGGAGGTATCGATAGCTACAGTCTGGGAAAGCCCACAAGGTATTTATAAGAGGAATCATTGATAGCGGCAGGAGCAAGAAAGAAAAAGGAAAGAAGAGAAGAGGGTATTGGGGCTTTTAAAAGAAAATATTTGGACCCTGGAGCAGATCCATAAAGAAGAAAATAACAAAAGATACGAGACAGAAAAGTTTATTGGATAAAAAAAGATGAAACTAGAGTGGTTTGATGGATGAGGAGAAGAGAAGCAGTATATAACAGGGTTTGAATGAGAGATATAGATGGGGAGATTTAGACCAGGAAAATACCTAATGAGAGCCCTGAATAAAAAGAAAATAGGAACTATATAGAAAAGATAAAATGTTAAAAGGGGGAGTTGGTCCATTCAAATAAAGAGATTATTAAAGTGTTTACGGAGTATTACAAACAGTTATTATAATATTAGTCCCCAAGGCCCCCCCCCCCCCCCCCCCTCTAAAAGAAGCTCAGAGGGAATTAATGAAAAAAAGATGGACATACTTAAAAATGCGGGACTCCCAAAATTAAGTGAAGCACAGTTGAACACCCTAGATGCA